TTGACAAGTTATTTATCTGGTTTTAGCATGGTTTATTGTGGTCAATTTCAGCTATCTGTTTGTTTACTACGGACAGAGTCGGCACTGCAACTACCTGCTCCATATTTACATTGCTTTGATTCTCAAAATGCAGAAAATGCGTCGTCGTGGTTACCGCAGAAGGCGGCAGTAACTTTCTAAGACTTGCTTTTCAAGTGTTCGCCCTGTGAATCACTGCGCTACTGGCAATGGTCTGGAACGTCCACAATTTCGACCACACCGTCTCACTACATTGCCCACCTCCGTGGTGTTTGGCCCACCCGACCACGAATACGTTTGCGTGGTGTAAACCTTCTAGTCGCCAAAGTCAACTTCGAATCTCATCGTACTCCGACCCCTGGCACGTGCTCCACTCGAAACAGTGGGAGAGAGCTTCTGTTGTCCTGACTAAGTAGCATGAACTTGGCTACGAGAAAGGCAATTCACATGTCCATTCGTCCAATCTCGAATCGAATTTGTGTGACAAAGTGCGGAATCTTCTTTAGTGGGAGAAGAGGTGTTTTTTCCACTGGACCTGTCCATGACTTTTCGGAGGCAACAGTTGGCTTTTTCTCCGGACAACTGCAATAAGGGAAGCTTCGAAGAGGTGAATGCTTGGAGGATGGTTTGGTGACCTCTGTGTATTTCAGCCGATGCAGAAGTGGTCACCTTGGCTTGGAGGTTGAGGGGAAACTGCTTTGGGTCGACTGCGTCAGCTAGTATGCAGTGTGGAATGGGAGACACGTCCAAGTGTCCGTGTGAGGAGTGGTGTTGTAAATTGTTCGCCTTTTGTTGTCCTGTTGTTTGCTCTTCCCTCCGTGGGAAGTATTCCGTCTAGTTATTCCATGCTCCAGCAGCAAGGGGTTACTTTAAGGGATCAATCGAAGAAGCAGGTAAGCCGAGGGATCACCTGTTCGGGTCAAAATTATCGGTTGGAGGTGGTGAGGTGAAGATCGGCCTCGGTGGCAAAGTGAGTGGGGAGTTGAGGTTAATGCCATCCGATACAGTGAATGGATGGATGGATGGACGCATGATGAAGTGTGAAATGAACCGCGTGCCTCTAAGGCATGCCACAAATGAATGCGTGACATCTGCCCCCATCCTCCACCACCTCCTTCCTTCATCCCTCCATTTGCTAGAACTAATCCACAAGTTGACCACATTGTGGTGTCAAGTGATGTGATGCTCCGTGCTGTGTGAGTTAATTGTGAAATCGAGGTGGAGGGATAGAGCAGGTTGGCTGCAATAGTGGTAAACTTCTGCATGCGGTTGTTTTTTTCCCCTTATTTAATGACACCGCCGTCGCTGCCTCCCAATGGCTTAATGTGGTGACAGCAGTTAACTGCCCTCTGGTCGTCCCCCTGCCTCAACCGCCTTCATGCATTCCGTTTTAATTAACACGACTGAGTTTTTAATCAGGAAGATTCACTAGGCATAGAAGTCCGTTGTTCGTAATTTGGCCTTAACCACCCAAAAGTGAGACTTCTTCCCATTTTCTGATAACAACTGGCAAACGAGTGAAAAGTGTGGTAGATTTGTTTCGTGTTATTTTATGCCATTTCATTGCACTTTGTTTTATTTGAACGCGGTCGATAGCGGTTTGAGGGCGAGGCCAGTGAAGGGTTCTTTTTTCTTTTTTGTTGCCTCTTAGCTGAGTGGTCAGTATCAACGAATCAGCGATATCGGCGCTCCTCTCTCACCGAATGAATTGGGTAAGCTGTCTTTCCAATGCATTTGCTTTCTTTTCCCCTTGAACTGCTTTAATTTTGTTGACAAGTGTGGTGTAGTAGGGCCGAAAATGTGCCCTATTTGGGCGAAGCATTGTGATGTTGCAGCAGCTAAATGCTTTTGGATCAATCAGATGACTGGAAGACGACCATCCAATCAGCTGCCAAGTCGGAGTAAATTGATTTTTACTTACTAGGAAATTCACCCATAATAGAAATGTGTTGTTGTGTCGCAATTTTGCAAAAGTTAATATGTTTATCTTTAGTTTTTTTGTGTATTACAATCGTCAATTAAGATGTGCGTGTTTGATAAGTCAGACTTTTTCTATCATAAAATTATTCCAGATTTTTTCCAAAATCCTTACCTTTGGTTTAATTTTTGCAATTTTCTGATTAATTGTTAAATTTAACGTTATTGAATCAACTGTGCTAATTAGAATATTCAAATTTGTCTATCCAATCAGGTATCGTAGACCGAAAATTGGCAAATCGGCTTCTAATGGCCTATCTTTTGATCTTGAAAACCTATTTTGGATGGATGGGTTCAGTGAAGTCGGTCCTCGAGGTCGGTTTTAAGCTTTAAGGTTTGCGAATCCCTTCGTTGATGATGTTACCTCATCAGCGCTCTTTAGGGCATTGGACGCATTCGGCAGAGAGCAAAATTATTCGTAGTAAGCTTTTTAGTATAGGTGACGGCTTTTTGAATTCCTGCCCAGACATGAGCAAACCGTGGAAGGAAAACTCAAATAATTGCAGTTTGTTGACTTATTCAACGCAACTGTTATTCACTTAAATTCAGCCTTACACATTAAGGTCAACAGGGGAGCATTACTACCAAGGTACAGGCTGAAG